TGATTCTCTCTGGTGAGTAATAAAGAGCAGTTTTGTTTTTCAGTCATTAAAGTTAACCAGCCAATTCCTGCCCCATTTCAAGACAAACGGTCAGGTTAGTTGTGTCAGCGACACTAAATTTGTTTTTGAGGCGGGATTAATTTAAAATTCACATCTCAATCATGAACGCATGCACATATGTAGTCGCATCAACATAAACATAAACTTATTTCGATGAAGTCCTAAGGGCGAAACGCGTCAAACGAAAACCTTTTCCACTCTGTCATAGATCTTCCAACCCCAAATATTGTTCTTGATATATAAAAGTTTATATATAAAGAAACGTCATTAAATGATATTTATATTATTAGAGTATCATGGATTTTATTTCGAAATAAATTTATTTTATATTTGAAAGCAGAGAAGCAGAATTTTACATGACCGTAACAAATACCTGCTTAGGCACCAGACCCCATATTTGATGTCTCTTATCTCCGAAAAGAACACTTCTTCTTGGTGCCGAAGCGTCTCAGTTAACCTGATGAATGTTTGTGAACGGATTTTAGTTTAAGGATTTTGACTGGGAACGTTTTGCTTTTGTTTGTAGGTAGTTGCTGCATGGTGGAGTAATGGATAACGATTCGGTTTGAGGAATCGGAGAACCGAGTTCGGATCCATTATATTCATTTACGTGCTAATACACATGGAAAAGGTATGAATCCTCTTCTCCCTCCAGCTATGGCTAAATAACAGGACAGACTGGGTTCTATAATCTTGAATAGCAATCGGTCTGAATTCAAAACAGCCCGGAGGGGGCTGGGCTCCGTCAGGCTATCTTGGCGAGGGAACACCGCTTCCATTTTGACAGAGAAACATCGCATCATTGTGCCCTTACGACCCTACGGCTCACGGTATAAAAAATATATTCAGCTGCCCTTAACTCGTTTTTGTTGACCTTTCATTTTCATAGAAGTGTGTATTGCACTCAAAGCGTGATAAACGTTTTGTCCTAACATCAAATATGTTCGCCATGAACGTGTTGTCTACAGCGAAAGAAATTCTTGTTTGTTTGAAAGTTTGAAAACTAACAGATAAAACCCGAATTTTTGAACCAACCAGAACAGCGTAAAATGTTATTAACAAATTAAATACCAAGATTTATTGGCAGCAAAACAACGTCAGACGACAATCTTTTCATATCCGTAAACAAGTTGTCGGCTGTCCAAAGCAATGAATTACCGCCGATGTATCTCGAGTCTCCGTGAATCATTCAGAAAATCCGTATTCAAAGAAATTGAAAGTAAAAGAAAGATATATGTTAAAGAGATCTTTTACTTGTTCTTTTTCCTAATGAAAAGCCAATTCCAGTGAATTCAAAAAAGTCTGTCGTGTTTATAATGAAAGAAACTGAGGCTGAAACCAGCAATATCGGATTTTCGCGAGGATGCTTTCCCGATCATCTCAATCTTAATCTATTCAAGTTTACGGTCAACTGCTACATATCCTACATATCCTACATATCCTCATAATATTCGCCTGTTCTTTTTAACTTTACACTCTTGTAACAAATCTCATCCAGTAACCCTTTATCTTGAGTGGAACATAGGCCTTGTATTGGGTGAATTATAAAAAGAAACCCTATCCCAACCGTGGAAAAGAGATGTAAATCGTGCAAACAATTTGGGTTCAATAAATGGGAGGAATTCAAATAAAAAAGAGCAAGTATAAATCCTAACAGCTTCACTTCCATTCAACATGACAACCGGGCTTAATAAGTGCGGAAATGAAGAAACATAAATATACCAATCCAAGAAATGCTTAAAGAAAAAGGACACAAGATAAACATTTTCAGAACAGGAACTATGATCTGGAATTAGAATGAATGATCGCACCTACTCTGAATCCATCATAAAAATCCAGAATGCGGAATTAATAAATACATGTCAAATAACTTGGTGTATGGATCAGTTATAAGAAATTTAGTGCAGGAGATAAAGAAATGGAACATAGAATAGACGGTAGAAATAAGACAAGAAAAAATAAATGTCTACACCGTACACATTTTTATTTTGGAGTGATATCTACATAGTAAATCATATTATAACATATATATGACATAATGAAAATGTAATTAAAATATTAAAATTTTTAGTTTTATTTATATTATAACGATAAACAGCATATACATCGGCTAAAATATCTACACCGTACAAATTTTATTTTAGAATGATATCTACATAGTAAAACATATAACATATATATATATATAAAATAAAGAAATTATCATTAAAATATTACATTTTTAATTTATATTCTAGCGATCAACTGCATGTACATCGGCTAAAATGTCTGCAACGTGCAAATTTTAATTTGGAATGGTATCTGCATAGTAAACCATGTTGCTACTTTGGCTTGTTATCTACAAGGAAAAGTTAACAAGTCAAAGTAGTACCAAGTTTTGCTATGTAGATATCATGCCAAAATAAAATGTGTCCGTTATAGATATTTTTCTTTGTAGGTAAGCCAAAACCAAAGTAGATATTTTCCTAGTAGACAAAGTCCAAAGTAGCACCAAACATTCTGTGCTTGGTATAGTTTTTCCCAACACCGCAAACTGTCACAAAACTAAAACATTCACCTAAAATCGCAAGTCATGTGCTTAAATAGCCTCGTTATATCGTGACTTTCATATGGATGTCATGTATGTCATGTATCGTGACTTTCATATGGATGTCCTTCAGAAATATCTAAATTATCAGCCTTCGCAGACTAATTGTTAAAATGGGTCAAAATGAATGACCCGTTTAGAGAGGACAATGCTTCTACGAACTTTACGGACTGGCACCCAGAGAATCAGAAACAAAGAACTGTCTAAAATAACAGAAACCACATCACTTGAAGATTTTCAACAGCAACAACAAATAAAATGCACACGTCCTGGGTATGACGATAAACTACATCCACGTCCTGGGTAAGACGATAAACTACGTCCAACAGCAAGGCCTCTGATCAGGAGGTTTTCAGGAGTGTGGAACCACCTTTTAATTGCTGGTGTTCCAGGTCCACCCTGACCCAGGGTAGTAGCACCTTTTAGGGTCCCAGCTATGGGCAAATAGTTAACCCCGAAACTGAGGTAAAAAGCATTATAAAATATTGCCAGCTATACGTTTTTGAAGAAAAAACTATTGCTAGTAATACGTTTTTGAAAAAAGCAAAAACTATTTCCAGCAATACGTTTTTGAAAAAATATTACCAGCTATACGTTTTTGAAAAATTAACACTACCAGCTATATGTTTTTGAAAAAAATAATATTACCAGCTGTACGTTTTTGAGGTAAAAATATTAACAGAAATAGATTTTTGACAAAACAAAAATATTACCGGAAAAAAAGTTGTCGGCATTAAATGACCCATTGAGGTTGCTATGCCGTAAAACAAAACAAACCAAACCAATAAAATGCACGGTATATGGAACACGAACAGAAAATAATGGCATAATCAAGATATTGACGACCCACACTACGAACAAAAGGCTAGCAAGGAAACTTTCACCAATACAAGAAAGAGCGCTAACAGAACTGGACTTGAGAAACCTATTTTCTTGAAAAATTGCTTAACTAGAAAGATTTTTATAAATTTCAACTGACTGTAATATTGGTTGCTTTATTCCTTATCAGGAATTGACTAAGATAATTATTGAGTATTTGAAACAGTTCCGAAGTGCTAAGAAAAGGATTTTGGAGAACTGGACATCTGATGAAGAAGTAAAAATTATGCAAATGAAAGAATTTCTAGAATAAAACAGAATGACAAGAAGAATGTTCGAGTATTGAGGAGACTTACAGTTTTTGATCTTTAAGTGTAATTCTAACAATAATGGAAGGAAAGCCCCAAAATGCATTTATTTTTTTGGGGGGGGGGCTTCGCCTTCTTTCCTCAAAAATATTGCAAAATTGGAAAATATTTAGGACAAGATGTTTTTATTCCGTTCCGAATGTCATGTGAATTGATTTTTTAAGGATTCATAATTTAGAGAGGAAAATCCTTCTTCGAACCTCTGGCGCTACAGAATCACAAAGAACTTTACCACATAACAGAAACCACATAAGGAAGTTCAAAAGCAGCAACAATCAAAATGGCTTGCACATATAACTTGAAGATAAAGTAATACCATAGTTAATACGTTCACCACTATTTCAAACAAAATGTTATGAATAAAGTCCATACCAATACTGAAAAGAGCAATAACAGCTACTAAACTTGACATGTCTATTTTCTTGAATAATTGTTTTAAGAGAAAGATTTTATAAATTTCAACTGAGAGTAGCACTGACTGCTCGGTAATGTCGTTGTTTCCTTATACGGAAAAGTCTAATATTAATATTAATATTACCATGTAGAGTGCTTTTTTTATTGATTAACACTTATTCAGAAAGCGTCATATATATATATATATATATATATATATATATATATATATAAACAAAAAAACAAGGAATTTGATTTCATGCCTTTTTAAATTCTATATATTATATTTTTATGGTTTCAATCTTTTTCGAAAAGCTGGAATTGATTCTAGTAAAAATATATAATTCGCAGGGAGATTTGGGAAACTCATGTAATTCATTTATTGTTTCATATTTATTTATATCTCTGAGATGAGGTATTATGATTACTTGCATTATTTACACAACCCAGTGGATAAAGACTTTGGTTAGATCCAGTGACTAGACACAAAGAGTTGTGAGTTCAATACCAGTTCACAGCAGTGGTGAACCCAAAAAAAACAAAAAACAAAAAAACAACAAAAAAAAACAAACTTGGAGAGTTGAATTAAAGTGAAATATCTGAGACATCCGGAAGAGGCATGGCACATGGAACTAGAACAATCTACCTCGGTGGATGAAATAAAGGGTTTGGTTGGAAATTCCAATCACCTGAAGAAGGCCAGAGCATACAATGGCTGAAACATTATGAATATGTCAATGAAGATGAGGATAACAGTCTGAATAATGTAAATAATGTTTCATATTTGTTCCATAATTTCTACTACTTCCGCTTCTATTAATACCAGCACTGCATTCCTGTTCTTTTCTTTCCCACTCCTCCCCCTTTTTGTTCTTCATCTTCTCCCTCACTTCCTGCCTCACTCCTCTTCCTCCTTCTACTCGCCTCCTACTCCTTATTCTCTTCCTTCTTCTTTGCCTACTACTTCGGTTTCCGTCTCCTCTTCCTACTACTTTTCTTCTGCTTTCTCTTTCTTGTCTTCTACCTCCGTAACATTTTTTTTACTTCTTTTCCGCCCCATCCTCATTTTTCTTCTTCTCTTTCATATCCTCCTCCTCCTCCTTTTCTGTCCCCTCTTCCTCTACATCATTTTCTTTCTCTTTCACTACCTTGCACCTCCTTGGTTTTCTTCTCCATCTCTTTCTTCTAACCCACTTCCCTTTCCTCTCGTATCTCCCCGTTCTTCCATTCCCATTCTTCTCTTTCACCACAATCTCACACCTGCTCTCTTCTGCTTCACACACTTCTTTGTTATTACTAGCAATACAAGTAACACTTGTGTTTATTTGTTATTTAGACAAAACATTATAATTACTCTTTCAAGAAACCTGTGAAATAAAATAAGACAAAACTTATTTTGCATGAGATTCCACCTTAAAGTATACTACGAAATAAGGTTATTACTGATTCAATATAAACGTTGCTTTTTTAAGAAAAGCGTGAAACAAAGAGTAACAAATGCAAAAATATATCAAGAAAAAGAAATCACACAAATACATGGAAAACAGGAAAATGTATTCTTTTTCCCTTGGAGCACAGAACAAAATAAATAAATAAATAAAAAAACGCAGCATCCAAATTTGCTATACGCTCGAAAGAATATAAAACGAGATAGAGGCACTCGTAAAAGGCATATATACATGACAGGAAAACGATAGATTCGCTCTTATATTCGGCATTAAGTTTATTTGTATTCCCTCTTCAGTTAACGCATAGAAATAGATGCATGAAAACAGAACGAACCCCAAACGATTAATGATAATTTTGTTGGCTAAACAGAGCAGATACAATAAACATGAAATAAATGACGAAAAATTGGCACCTAATTTGTATGCCAGGTCCAGCTGACAATAAGATGTAGGCAAGGAAATGGAATGTACTTTGTTGAAAAATGAAGATAGCGAAAAAGAAAGAAGTGATTATTCGACTAAGATTTGAATAGTTTACTGCATGAAAGAAAGCAATTTATTATGGGAAATTCACTGCATTTCACTTTCATAGAATTCTGAAAGAATGTCTAGCGCCAATTTTTTAAGACGGGCGAAAATATTGACGTTAAAGCAAACATGCACACGATATTTTCATTGAAGAATTTTCTATGAATGACTTAAAAAGCTTATAGTTTAGGTTTTGGTGCTGGTCTTTCTTTTCGACGTCCTCTTTTTTCCTCTAGCTCGGTTGTTCGATTGGATTCGAAGATTGTTGTTCCGTCGCTGGCAATGGATCTCCAGAGATTCCTGTCCATTGCACTGGATTCTCAGCTGTTGATGTCTACGTTACATGTCTTCATATTTTGTTTTAGAACGTCTTTGAAGTTCTCCCTTTGACCTCCTCTTTTCCGATTTTCCTTCTTTGAGTTCCGAGTAAAAGTGTTGCGGTTATGAATGAAGTCCCAACTCAAAAAAGCGAAAAGGTGTTTAAATATATAAGATATTTTTATTTACATGTGTTTTACAACTAAATTTTTATTAGCGTCTATGAGTGTTAAAGTTCTTACAGTCATTTTTGTTGTTGTTTGTTAAGATTAAAAGAAATATGATTTCTTCGCCTATATCTGTAAGAAAGAAGATTCAAGGAAGAAAGTGAGAAAGAAAGTGTAAGTGTCACGCAGCTTGTCGAGGAGTTAGGGAATTTCTTTTACGCCAGGTGTCGTGAACTGTTGCCGTCTGTCTCTCCTTACTCATTTTTCCGTCTAGGAACTTTGCTTAAATACCCTTCAAAGGGAACACGAAGTCTTTTTTTTATTGTTGGCGGGAAGGCGACCCGTTGGCTGAATAATGTTAAATATTTTCAGAGGATTAACTTATTAACATGAAGAATGCACATTCCTCCGACTTAGAAACATTTTTTTCTCATTTGGTGTTTAACTGTCTTGTCTTGGTGTTTATTTCCGTCTTCGCTAACTCCCACTAAGAGAGAGAGAGAGAAAGAGAGAAAGAGAGAGGAAGAGAGAAAGAGGGAGAGAGGAAGAGAGAGAGAGGAGAGAGAGGGGAAGAGAGAGAGGAGAGAGAGAGGAGAGAGAGAGAGGAAGAGAGAGAGATTAATGAGTGTATTATTAATGTTATGTATGTCTTGTAATGTTTAGGCCAAGTGACCTACCGGATTTGGTCACCCTCTTCTATCGGAAGGTGCGGTGTCGTCTGGCCCTTACTGCGATCAGAACCAGTGGCAATCGCTGTAAGTGAGTCCTGAAAAAACGCAAAGTGCAACTGAGCGCGACCTATCCCGGCCAAGATTGAAAATAAACAAATTGGATTTCGCGAATTGTGGAAGATCACTAACCAAATTATGAACAGAGTCAAAACGGGTGTGCTCACTATTATAAATGGCCTCGAGGTCATATCATCCTCGACAGACAAGGCGAAGCTCTTTGCCTCAAACTCAACGTTAGATGACAAAGTCCATCCCCTGCCAAATCCACACGTCTCATTGAGCACAATCTCAGTAATATACTCATTTCAGCAAATGAAGTCTCTAGACTTATCCTTATCATAACATCAACCCCACAACAAGCCACTGGTCCAGACATAATTCCAGTGGTCGTCATTAAGAGTATCAGTCTAGAATTATTCCCGATTCTAGCAAAATTATTTAACCGCTGCTTGGTGAAATATTTCCCCTCCCAGTATAGACCCATTAGTCTTCTCACTTGCACCAGTAAGCTTTTGGATGCCTTAATCAAGATATCAAGATCGTCGAGCAATATGATAGGGAACAAAATTTTGTGCAACGAGCAGTATAGGTTCATATCAGCCCCATCCACTGCTGATGTCCTAACATTATACACAAAATTAGTGAGACCCTTGACGGCACACACATCGTAAGGACCATAGTATTAGCTATCTCAAAGGCCTTCGACAATGTTTAGCATAAAGTTTTGCTACGCAATCTCTCCAGCTATGGAATCACTGGAAGGGTTTTCTCTATTATAAAATCCTTCCTAGCAGGTAGCTGAAGGTAGTTATTAACAGCCAGTCTCCCAAGCCCTGGCAGTCAACAGGGATCATTTTTCGGACCAACCCTCTTTTAGGTTTGCATAAATAATCTACCTAAGAATATACTCGAATATTTGTAAACGTCTATACCGATGATAGGAGGATATACGGGCGCATCTCTGAAAGTCTGGACGATCAGAGATAGTTGACCTCAAGTTGACTTCTCTTCCGATCTAACACTAACTTCCAAGTGGGAAAAACTGGTTGGTTACATTCAATGCCTCGAGAACCAAACTGATTACATTCCATCACCGACGATCAGACTCCGAATTACCGCCAGTCAGAATAAACGGATCTCTCCTCGACGGGACCCCATGACTCGAGAAGGTATTGGGCCACAGACTCACTCCCGACCTCAAGTGGAATTCCTATATACAATCATCTATAATGATGCAGATTAAATGATCGACTCCCTGTGCCGCTTTAGTAAGTATCCTCATGTTATCCTCTACCTTTATAAGAGCCAGATGAGGCCGAAAATGGAGTACTGTTGGCATATTTGGACAGGAACTGTCCAGACCTCACTTTCTAGTCTTGATAGAGTTCTAAAGCGTCCCCGAGTCCCTGTGGTAGAAGAATAATTCTCCACACTCCAACCTCTCTCTCTCACAGGTGGGATGTGGCGAGTCTCTCACTTCTCTATCGCTATTACCATGGAAAGTGCTCCGACCAACAGTATCTCCTGGTTCCACCAGGTCAGATCTTCACGGCTAGGACCCGCCATACCACTTACATAGTAGCAAATTACTTACATTCGCTCCGTATTCCATTGGTGAGAAGTAAGTTCCACTCAAATAGCTTCTTCCCGCAAACCACTGCTCTGTGGAACAGACTCATTAGAGGATGTTTTCTCAATCACTACAATATTAACATTTTCACGACTAGAGTCAGCCGTTATCTTCCCCTCCTGTCCATATAAGCTACCTCTTATCGTAGCCCTGTACCTCGAGTGGACCCGGGGCCTTTTACAGGTTGAACCTTACTGTAAAAATTAGTATATTGTAAGTTTTGTTTAGCGAAACATATATTCACGTACGATTCCTGCATATATATATATATATATATATATATATATATATATATATATATATATATATATATATATATATATATAGTAGCGTCCAAAACTAAGGGACAAAATTTTAAAACCTAATATTTGTTAGAAATAACAACTGTGAAAAGCTGAAATTTTGACAACTGGGAGTCGTTATCATCCATAATAACATACTAAAATTTGAATCATTTGCAAAGGATAGAAAAGAATTATAACAATTATTTATTTATTTTCAAAATAGGATCGTCCAAAAGTAAGGGACAAAATTGAGAAAAAAACAATGTAAACAGTATGCTATATTCAATTTTTTTTTGATTTCCTCTAAAGAATAAGTCTTACTTAGTCATTTGTAAACGTTGCATCAGCCGGCACTATGGCGAAACGCCAAAAACTTGATTACTCTGTGAGACAAGCTATTGTGAAGCTACACAAGGAAAAAGCACACCATTAGAGATTTCAGAGAAAGGGAAACGTTCCAAGAGTGTTGTAGGCAGGGGTTGTTAAATCCTACAATGATACTGGCAAAATAGTTAGTGCTTTTAAAACCGGCAGACCCCGCAAAACTTCGGCAAGAGAAGATCGAATAATGCAGTGTATGTCATTAAAGGACCGTTTTAAGTCTTGCACAGAAATTGAAAGGGTTATGAATAGTACCTCATGTGTTAATGTGTCAAGACACACTGTTTGTAGACGACTGCAAGAAATAGGGCTGTTTGATCGAACCCCAGGGAAGAAACCACTTGTTAGTTCGAAGAATAAGAAGAAGAGATTAGAGTTTGCAAACAGGTATGTAATTTGGACATATGAAAATTGGGCAAAAGTATTTTTCGGTGATGAAAGCAAGTTTAATTTATTTGGAAATGATGGAAAAAAATGTAAAGAGACGTATTGGTGAAAGATTAAGTGCAAAGTGTACTAAGAAAACTGTCAAGTTTGGGGGCGGAAGCGTCATGGTATTTGAAATGTTTTCTAGCCAAGGTACAACGCCTCTTGTCCGGTTACAAACTCGTGTAAACGAGCAGATCTATAAAAACATTGTTCAAGATCATGTTGTGCCAATCATACAGAATTCAGGTTTCGATAGGGCTACCTTTATGCAAGATAATGCCCCATGTCACAAGGCAAAGGTGGTAATGAGTTACCTTAGCGAGCAAGATTTGGAAATTATGGATTGGCCACCGCAAAGTCCTGACTTAAATCCAATAGAAAATCTTTGGAAGACATTAGGAGTGAAAGTTATGGAAAGAAATCCCACTAACACGGAGGATTTGTGGGTGAAGCTTCA